ATTTACGATAATATTTTTTACACTGAATGTCCATCTCAAGGATTGAAATGGTCGCACCGCCGCCGCCGACCGCGCAACACGGGTATGGTCCACGTGGCGTTACATATTGGCACCCAGGCTCGGCCGGGCTCGACGCGTCACGGCACCCGGGATCCGATCCCTGCTGATGGGTCGCCCGCTGCGTTCCATCAACCTGAGCAAACAGGCCCCCGTGCTGAACTCTTGTGTGCGCGCGTCACTCGCCCTGTCACGTGGTCTGTGTGCGAGCGAGAGAGAAAGAAATAAAGAGAAAAGGGTGAAAAGCGTGGACGCGGCATTCCCGTTTTTGCTCCTTGTTTGAATTACGACACCCTAAACCTTGTGTTCCGTTGGCAGCAGCAGATGCTCTTGAAAATCCCACGGGACATTCACACGTGCTGATCGGAAAGAAGACCTCGCGAAAGAGAGCAGAACTGTGAAAATCGATTTCTTAGCGGATAATGCACTAAACACTTCCAGTTACTTTGAAAAGTTTTGCAAAATTTAACTTTTACCTAATTTTTTGTGCCGTTTCTTGGAACTATTTAACGGAGCTAAATGAGAATTATTAAACCTTTAGTCCCTGGGTAGAATTCGTATCATTGCGTGCATTACGTGCATTACGTGCTAAAAGTGTAGGCTGCACCGTTGAAGAAATTATTGTAAATTAATTAACAACAAAAGCGGTAGATATCCATTTATTCAAGTACGACAGCCTACCATTGTGTTCCGTAAGGTCTTCGTCAAGTGAGAATTATTTTTTACCATATACTCGGTTCGTGAGAGACGAAGTGATAACATCAAATTTTAGTCGCTCTCTGTCACGCTTCTCGCATCAGGCATCCTGTGTTTGAGTCACAAATCACGCTTTTTGTTGGAAACGTGAACAGTGTCATAGTCTTGTTCGCTATATAACAGCAGGTAACAGCCACAGTCTTCACTTTACCAAGGTGCTTCAACTGAGCAGCAGAACCAGCAAAATGGTCCGAGTTATCACCAGCATTCTCCTGCTCGCTCTGGCGGTAAGTCCTAACAAAAAAGCACATGGTCGTGTATTCCATGGCGCACATCTTAAAGCAACAGTAAATTGTGTTTGCAGGCACTTGCCATCCAGGCGGCACCTCTCGAGTCCAATGCTAAGCCCGCTGCCCAGCTTGCTGCTGTGCAGCCCGCTGAGAAGCCCGCTGACAAGCCCGCTCCCAAGCCCGCTGCCCAGCCTGCTGAGAAGCTCGCTGAGAAGCCCGCTGAGAAGCCCGCTGAGAAGCCCGCTGAGAAGCCCGCTGTGAAGCCCGCTGAGAAGCCCGCTGAGAAGCCCGCTGCCAAGCCCGCTGAGAAGCCCGCTGAGAAGCCCGCTGAGAAGCCCGCTGAGAAGCCCGCTGAGAAGCCCGCTGAGAAGCCCGCTGACAAGCCCGCTGAGAAGCCGGCTGAGAAGCCCGCTGAGAAGCCCGCTGCCAAGCCCGCCGCCCCTGGCCCTAAAACCAAGCGCGCTGCTCCTGCCTCAGAGCCTAAGCCCGCTGAGAAGCCCGCTGAGAAGCCCGCTGAGAAGCCCGCTGAGAAGCCCGCTGAGAAGCCCGCTGAGAAGCCCGCTGAGAAGCCCACTGGTAAGCCCGCTCACAAGCTCGCTGCCAAGAAGCCCGCCGCTAAGTCAGCTGTCAAAGCTCTCCTCAGGGCTGCCGCTACGTCCGCCCAGCAGCCTGCCGACAAGTCTGCCGAGAAGCCCACCCAGACTTCGGCCGTGAAGCCAAAGCACCCCAAGAAGCACACCAAGAAACACGCCAAGAAGCACGGCAACAAGTCCGCTCAGAAGCACGCCAACAAACCTGCCGAGAAGCCCGCAAAGAAGCTCGCCCAGAAGCCCGCTGCTCAGCCTGCCGCTAAGCCCGCGTCAAAGCCATGAAGCCGTGAAAAACTATGTAACTCACAACTCTGTTAAAATCTGCTTTGAAACATCGGCATTAAAAGTGTGATAACTCGTAACTGGAACTTGTTGGCAGCCTTCTTTGCCATTCGGTTTATTCCCCCACTCTCACTCGTTCTGAACATCACTCACTGTCCTCAACGACCTTGAGTCGTCCGCGATGGAATTTTCTTGCCATGATTTGAAGTAGCCGGTGACATGAAGTACTAGAGGAAAGGCCCTGTGGGCCTAGGCTCGTCGGAAACAGACTGAAGCCGTCCTTTGCAAGTCATGAAACGATATGACATTAGCCATCCGGCAGCATAGTGAAATTTATAAACCCCTTCTATTTCTTATCTTATTATTGTTAAATGTTCATCCTCAGCGAGTTGAGCTGCGCTAGATGACGCTGCGATATAACTTTCTAAAGAGAGAAAGGACGGGGGGAGGGGGGTTAACAGATTTTTTCAGCGACAAGACATCGCGGTGGGCGGTGGGTGGGTCGCCTCCTCCCACTTGCTGTCCCTGTCTAATATGACGATGAGACGAATGAGCGGAGGGTTCTTTTAGCTGCTCTTGGATGTTCGTCCCGGATGATGGACGGAGAGGACGACGTGACCTTTCCTCCGATCTCACTCTCTCGCACACATTCCCCCACCTCCCGGACAGTCATATTATTTTCTCTGCGGAATACGGCGAACTCTGATGCTGCGAACAAGTAAATAACTCACCCAGGCCTCCCCGAGGGACGTGCGTGAGGAAAAGTTCCGGCCATATTTCATTAATGAAACGACATTAAGTCACTATCGCAGCCAATGCCCCCTGAGATCGACACTGTCGGCTCGTTTCTGACAAATGGCATCGGGTACGAGTAAAGATGATTTCCAAAGTCTTGATCTGGCTTTCGCTGGTCAAAAACTTGAGTGCACGATGGAATGGAAATATAGATTTTAGGGGAAATATTTATTGATCCATGTGTAGCGTGCACGCCCTAGAGAAAAAGATAGCTGGGAATTGTTTCATTTTAACTGTATTTAACAAAAATTTTGACTGGGTTTAACTGAGTATTGGTGAGTCTGACTGGCTTTAACCGAATATACCCGGATATTCTCGGCTTTTACCCAATTTTACACTTAATTTTACTGATTATACTGAGCCCACTTTTTGCCTTACTGGAATTGATACGAATATGACTGATTTTGACTGAGGGCCTTGACTGATTTTTGATTGGTTTTAGTCACTGGCTGAGGACGCGACTGAGCTTAGATCAATCATAACTGATTAAAGGCACCTCTCTAAAATCAGTCGAATGTCAGCTCATGTCAGTCACACACCGGACTGACATTAGTCACATATTAGTCGGTTCAACATTATTGCTCGCAATCACAAAAATCAGTTTCCGATACACAATGTGCGTTCCAGAATCTCACTGAATATAGTATTTTTTTGGCTGATAATTGTTCTGGACCAAGTGATGTGTATACTCAGCCTATTCTAGTGTAAGACCAGTTACGTGACTGCACTGACTTTAGTGAGTCTTCACCTGATACAAACCAATCCGACTATTACACCATCACCAGCTAAAACTCAAACAAAATTCAGTTGATGCCGCTCACTGGAAATTGAACATACTGAACTGATCTTACATGAGCAGCAAAGTCGTGTAAGTTCAGTTAACATATCACAAAAAACAGTTCAAGTTGAACTGATAATAACTAAGAAAATACTGATCAAAGGTGTGCTATGCAAACAGCGAAAGTCAGCCGAGTCAAAGCTAATATCAGCCTCACTTACAGCTAGAATTCCAGGATTGCCAGCCAATGCCAGTTCCCAATGTAACTGCGATTAGTTGCATTTTAACTGATGATAACTGCATTATGTCGCGAGCCGGCCGCTCACTAAAGCCGTGTAAATCCTTAGTATAATAGGCAATAACCAAAGAATAATCAGGCAATCCCAGTTGCTCTTACAAAACCCGGGTTAAGCCAGTCAACTCTCTCTAATTCCAGTCAAGCTCAACGTAATCTCAGTTACTTTTTTCTCTAGGGCGTGTTTGTGTAGGTGTGGGCGAATTGGAACGGCAGGGTCACTGATTGGGTCATTACACTGCGAAGCTCTTGTGGCCATCTAGTTGCAGATGAGCAGAGATGGACCCGTGGCGCAGGGACTGCTGGCTGGCAACGTCCCCACGCCACTGTGTGTTTAGGTCATCCTGTGTGTGGAAGAGAGAGAGAGGTGGGATGGGGGGGGGGGGAGGCATTTACTGGCCCATTATCACCTACACACACTCGCCCTGCGGCCAAGCCCGGCGATATGACCACGCGTACCCTTTATCCCCTCCGTCCCCCCCTCCCCCTTCCAGACCCCGACATGCCGCCTGCGGCCATCCAGCCTGATGCTGCAGCATGTTCACATTCGTGTCGAATACTTGATTGTTTTATACGAAACGCGTGATATTGAGCATTTTCAGATTGTCTTCTTTGGATGGCATATGCCTCGTAAAAACTACTGTCTTTTCGTATAAATGGGAATAACTTCTTTTAGTGGGCAATAGCCTCAGCAGTGCATTATAGCTTGCGTCGTTGTCGTGGCTCCCCTGCAAAAGTACAGAAAGGATGTCGTAGCCTGACCATGAGGCAACAGGTCTCCTCCAAATTACCACGAAAATGGTGCGGGACACTGGATCTTATTGGTTACTTTGCGGCTTTAAACGTTTCTGGAACCCTCGTGGTGGCAGGCCCACAGAGCGAACGTAGCTCGAGTGTAGAAGCGAGCAAGATTGTGGGAGAAGGAGTGACGCCATTCCCCAAACTTTCTCTATCACACACACTCCACCCTCGGGTTGCGGTTCTTTTTCTTCCGCGCTCGATCCCGACGGCGGTCCGGGGGCGGTCAGCGTATGTCGGGCCGGGCGCGGTTACATGGTCCGGGGAGGGATGTCCGCTCTGGGCTCGACTACACAGATAATTTTCATGCCCCCATCCGCTATAGACGCGCAAACGAGAGCGGCCCCGTTGCAACTCATCCAGCGATAATTAAAGTTGTAATGTTTAGGCTGATAAAGTAAAGCAAAAGGGCAGTAATCTGAAAGCCCCCCGCCCTTCCCTACTACTTGTAAGCGGGGCGTTCGGGCCCATCATCGAGCGTGTCTGCCTGCCGCGCTGCTGCCAGTGGATCGGGGCAAAGTGACCAGACAGCGCCTCGGTCCTGGTGATTGATTGGGTTAGAGCAGCTGGCCGGGCCTGGGGCCGGCTGCACAACTCTCAAAGCTTGGAAACTGACAAACCCTCTCTCCCTCCCACCTCCCCTCCCCCCTGTCCTTCTGGTCGAGTTGGTTTGCCCTACTTCAGCAACCGAACGTTCGGATTGCAACTCGCGCCGCCCCTCTCTCCTCTCTGGGTCTGTCGAGTAGTGTAGCTCAGCTTGCCTTGCGGCCGTCCAAATGGGCGGTACCCTGTGAAGGGCCTGGGGGACCGTTCAGGCGCGGAGCAGAGCGTTCGTCATGCCTCGCTACTTTGGCTTAGAATCAAGGTTTTGCAGCATTTAAAAAGACGCCAAACTTTCAAAGGAAGTTTATTGGAAGAAATATTGATCAGTTAATGCTTTTTAAATAAATGTGCTCATAAGTTTTGAGAGAAATGTTAGATTTCTTACCGAAACAATTTCGTTTTTTAAAACAAGAAAAAAATGTCTAGTGAGCCATCTAAAATAACAAGAAAAGCTTTCTGTTCACTTATCTGAACAGCATTGCTCTTGACTACTGTCCCATGGGGAAAATAAACTCGGTCAAGATCCGAGGTGGATACCGTTGAAGCCGCCCGACTGTTTTGCTGCACAGTGTGCACATTACGAGAGGACCCTCATCTCCCCCAGCGCGCCACAGGGGGGAGGGGTCGGGGGGTCTGCCGTTGTTACTTTTCATCACCCTCCTAACCTGGCTCCTTCCTGTTTGCACAACATTGTTAGCCTCACGACCACGCTGGGTGCGGACCTCGGCCGCGACACGACACGCTTTATGTGCGCAACTTCCGCTTTATCTCGCGGTATGGTCCAGGAGTCTGCGCTCCCCTCCCCCTCCACGCTGACCCCAAACCCCGCCGTTGTGTGAGGGTGGCGGCCACGACGCGCACGTCTGAATGCAAATGAGAAATGATGGCGCGAGTACCTGCGCGGGCACCGGCGCGTACCGGGCGGGTCGTCGGGTCAGTCTTCCCCCGCAGTCTGCGGGCGCGGGCGCGGGCAGTGGCATTTCGCCACCGTTGCGCACGAAGTTCAACGAGCGCTGCTTCCCGTTTTCTTGTTACTAGAAACACTTTCGCTATTGTGGCGTGGTCTCACATCTCCAGATGTGCATCAGGGAGGGTGCCCATCACGCTGCGGCTAGGAGGCTCTGTAAATACTAACTAGAGTTGGACGTCAAGATATGTTGTCAGACCATAGTGACCCCAAAAAATATTTATTTCCTACGAGAACAAAATTATTTTTCGGAGAATTCGGTGAATGTGCCCTCGTTTTGATTATCTGCGAGGAAAAAATGTCTGACTTATTTTGAGTGTGAAACCTTACTCTTTGGTTTTGAGAGCATCACTAAAAGAGCCGCCAGAACGCCGACACACTTGTCGCCCGTCTTTGTTGCTCTGCGTGTGGTCCGGTCGGCAACGCATCATCCCCTCTCCTCCATGCAGGCAGCGCGGCGGCTGCAATCGATATTCCGACCTGCCCCGCCCCGCCCCGCTCGCCCCGCCGCGCCCCGCCGCGCCCCGCTCGCCACGCCCCGCCCCGCCCCGCCACGCCACGCCACTCCACGTGGGGCCGGGCTCGCTAGGCGAGCAACATGGGGCTCTCGGCCCCACCACGGCCGCCTGCCTAGGGACCGGTGCCGAGGAATCAAACATGGGCCAGTGGGCCGGGCAGCCTCGGCCCTGGCTTTGCCGGGGTCGCACGCGTATCTCCTTTGCGTGCGCGTCCCTTTGGCGTCTCTCGGGTGTCCCCCGGGTGTCCCCCGGGTGTCCCCCGGGTGTGCCCGTGGTGTGGTGCCACGCCGATGTCCAGTTCCGGCCCGGGTTGGTGGGCTATGGGGTTACTA